GCCTAATAACAAATATTCGGTTTTATCATCATTCAATTTTAGAAAGTTTTTTGACATCCATTTTCTAATTTCACTAATACAGTTCTCAAGTTGCAATTTTGATAAATTGAAAGAAGATGGACAATTAGGTGTAAATGAAATATATAATTGAGTATCATCGGCATACAAATGAAAGCTGGGACCATATTTTCTGACAATATCTCCTAATGGTGACTTATAGAGGGTAAATAAAATCGGACCAAGAACAGTGTAGACTTTTTAATTAAAGGGGTAACATAAGCTCGTTTGAAAAGGGGAATAGTAGCGGATGATATACAAGAATTAATAATATTGGTAAAAACTGGAATAACTTCGTCTAGACAGTCCTTAAGAACAGAAGTCGGAACAGGGTCTAATGAACAAGATTTAGGAGCAGACGATTTAATTAGCTTTAAAACAAAAGATTCACTAACCAAGTTAAAATTTTCTAAATAAACAGAATCTTCTAACTTATCAAAATCATGAGCGTTAAAGTCAATAGTTTTATTTAAATCATCAAGTTCAGTTCGTATTTTCTGTATTTTTATTTGAAAGAAATCAGAGAATAAATTTGCAAGTTCAGTGTCATTATCATTGTCCGGGAGGATAGTACGCTCAGCATTATGGTCCAAAAGGAAATTCACAACTTTATACAGGTCTTTTTGTCTGTTTTCGCCATTTTCTATTTTATCAGAGTAAAATTTAATTTTAGCATCTTCAATTAGAGGAAAGGATGGGTTTGAGCTGTAAACGTCGCGCTGTTAGATGCACACAATAAATATCTAGAGGAAAGTAGGGATTTGGGCTGTAAACGTCGCGCTGTTAGATACACAAAATAAATATCTAGAGGAAAGGATGGGTTTGAGCTGTAAACGTCGCGCTGTTAGATGCACACAATAAATATGTAGAGGAAAGTATGTATTTGAGCTGTAAACGTCGTGCTGTTAGATACACATAATAAATATTTAGAGGAAAGGATGGGTTTGAGCTGTAAACGTTGCTGTTAGATGTTCACAATAAATATCTAGAGGAAAGGATATGTTTGGGCTGTAAAATTCGCGCTGTTAGATGCACACAATAAATATCTAGAGGAACGGATAGGTTTGAGCTGTAAAGGTCGCGCTAATGAACTGATACAGTAAATGTTTGGTTGGAGGGGGGGATTTGGGCTGTTAAAGTCGCTCTGTTAGATGCACACGATAAATATCTAGAGGAAAGTATGGGTTTGGTCTGTAAACATCGCGCTCTTAGATGTACACACGCTCCTCATTTTATACATGTATATAGGTTTGTAGTTTATGATGGACTAAATAATTTGCATCAATAAATCAAGTTTTTATTATTATCATTATTTTATATTAATACTATTATCATACATTGTTCTAGTACATGATTACATTGCATCTTATATATCTCTAGTATGATTACACTATACATCTTACATAGCTCTAATATATGATTAAAAAATTCTAGTATATGATTACACTATATCTTATAAAATTCTAGTATATGATTACACTATATATCTTAGATAGCTCTAGTATATGATTACACTATTCATCTTATGGAAGTTCTAGTATATGATTACACTATACATCTTAGATAGCTCTAGCTCTAGTATATGATTACACTATTCATCTTATGGAAGTTCTAGTATATGATTACACTATACATCTTAGATAGCTCTAGTATATGATTAAACTATACATCTTACATAGCTCTAGTATATGATTACACTATTCATCTTATGGAAGTTCTAGTATATGATTACACTATACATCTTAGATAGCTCTCGTATATGATTACACTATATAGCTTATGGAAGTTCTAGTATATGATTACACTATACATCTTAGATAGCTCTAGTATATGATTACACTATACATCTTAGATAGCTCTAGTATATGATTACACTATATATCTTATAAAATTCTAGTATATGATTACACTATATCTTATAAAATTCTAGTATATGATTACACTCTATATCTTAGATAGCTCTAGTATCATCTTATGGGAGTTCTAGTATATGATTACACTATACATCTTAGATAGCTCTAGTATAAGATTAAACTATACATCTTACATAGCTCTAGTATAAGATTACACTATTCAGCTTATGGAGGTTCTAGTATATGATTAAACTATACATCTTACACAGCTCTAGTATGATTACACTATACATCTTACATAGCTCTAGTATATGATTACACTATACATCTTACATAGCTCTAGTATATGATTACACTATATATCTTATGGAAGTTCTATTATATGATTACACTAGATCTTATATACTTCTACTCTGAAATCTAATCACACAGTCTTTAATAGTTCTAGTATCTGGTTACACTGTGTTAACGTTGTACATGTAGTACACGATCACATTATATGCACTATATAATCCTTATCATTCAAATCATCATCATCATCATCTGTATACTGACTTCACTATAACTACTTTTTGAGTCATTATTAATGTCAGTCCCCTCCAATATATCAAGCATTTCATGTACTGTCAAGGGAATTTCTACTGGAGAAATACGATTAAATATTAAGGATGATTTCCAACGTTTTTCTAAAATATAATGATGGAAATGCAAATTATGGGACTTTCCTTTACTCGGCCTGCAAGTAAACTGATTAAGACTGTGAATACTATTTAATATCGAATTACTTTGCATCTGAAAGGAAAAATACAATATTTAAAACTTGTATGGAACAATAATTTTTAATGCGAATGAACAAATGTCTGTGTTAAAGTTTAGTAAAGATTAAACAATGAAGGACACCGTATTTTTACCCTGAATTGTGTCTAAGGACACGTTTGTTATATGTTCTGGTGTTACACATCTATATATTGTTATGAGTCCTCATTCATACCTGCATGTTGTGGACCCTTCCGAGGTCATATGTAATTAATTGAATGTAATTTCAACTTTTGACCAGGAAACATTATGACAATCACCATGAATTACCGATCGCTGCCAGACGCAAACTCCGCACGGTCCATATTCTCGATTATCAAGTACCACTGCCAATATAATAAACACTGCCTCGATTGTGAAGTATCATTGCCAATATTGAATATAATAAACGCTCCCTAGATTGTCAAGTACCATTGTCAATATAATAAACGCTGCCTCGATTGTCACGTTAAATTGCCAATATAATAAACTCTGCCTCGATTGTAAAAGACCACTGCCAATATAATAAACGCCGCCTTTTTTTGTCATATCATATGTAATTATTCAGAGTACTAGAAGTGGCTAAATATGACGTATACGGACCTGGATTACGAAAACAGACGCACAAGTATACACGCATTATACACATAAACAATAATATGGAAATTAGTACCTTCGATCCAGTATTGTACCTGGATTTCCTTCAACTTGTTCATCAGTGACGTTATCATCACTGAAATTAATATATAAGCAAAGGTAAAACATTGATTGGAAATAGAAAAGTTATAAAATATATTTTGAACAGTCTGCAAGACATGCTCCAAACTAATAATTGTTTTAGAGAGTAATCTCTTTCCATGGAAATATGATAATTATTCATCTGAAATTTGACATATTAGAAACTGACACAACTAATTACCGTGAAAATTAAGATTAAATACTTAAAACAGAATGCTTCTCAATGTTTCAACACAACAGTAGGTGGATCATATTCATTTGATTATTAATGATTCATATGCCGGGAGAGACAGCTAAAGTAAAGCCCGCGTGCCGTGCCGATTGGTAAAAAGAGGGAGGTGGGGGAGGCGACTGTAATTTGAATATTAACAATAGAGCACATTTACCTGACAATTTTAATCTCATCCACCCCCATTATCAGTTTGAGTTACCTTGCACCATACTGGGAGAATGGCTGTAACATCCTTATTTCGCTGGCAGTCCACTGATATGTATAGTACCATCTTTAATATTCTTGTAGGGCATGAACGACCCTTCCTTGCCGATTGCTTTAGCTTTAATAAATTAAAGATACAAGGTGATTCATATTTCCATGCTTTGCTGGAGATACATTATTATGACGTTTGTAGATATTTTTATCACTAATCTGAGTGGGCTTCTGCCAGAGAAACTACAATCTCATATCATTAGAGTCCTTTGAAACACAATTTATTAAAATTAGTAATGCGCAATAAAACAGATTAACATGCAGGTCAAAATTTAACGGCCCTTTTGTTTCTCCTTTTCTTGTTGCTTTGTTAACAGTGAAATCTATAAACATTAGGGTGGTCCTTATTTTGCAAAATTATGAAATGTTAAGGGGCTACCCTCAATTTATGTTGGAATTGATGAGAAATTAAAAAATAAATTAATTAATAATAATAATAAAAAAATGTACAATTGTGTATCATCTGATATGTAGATGAAATAATAATTCATGATGTCTTACTATGAGACCAAGGGGTTTAATGTATAAGCCAAACAAAATCAATCCGAGGACATGATTTGGTTACCTTTCCATGCCCAAACATGATTTGGTTACCTTCCGCCTATAATATCGTGCTTTGGTTTTGTCTTTTTTACACCCCCCCCCCCCCCACAAATCACAAAGAACTTATATTGTGAACATGAGCGTTCATAAGTTTGACCTTAAACGGGTAGCCTATGGCGATGTAGCTACGCGATTTACTATCGAAGAAAAGGTCAGATATCCGCCAATAACCTGACCACATTAAATGTTGGCGTAAAAAACAGAGAGGTTTAAACTGTTTATAAAGATTAAACCTACTTTAATTTCTAACATGCTTAAGGTTATGAATATTCATAGAAGGTCAAGATTGTTACCTTTGTTTTCGTGTACATACAGATTAAAAGCTGTCATGCCACGAGAGTAGGTTACTTTTCTGGGATATATTCTTCCGCTGACAGTTTTTGGGTAGTTTCCAATCCAGTTCTGAAAAATATAAGAAACATTAAACGACTGATATGTTGTTTTTCTAATCAAATTAACCATTGAAAAGAATCTCTTGTCTAATTTATTATACTCTCTGACAAATTCATGTTAGTTAGAAAATAGTTAGAAAAAAAATAATAATACAAAATTTATAATAATAGCCTATGGTGTTGCCAGTTAACGAAGGTGTGTCTATCAGCCTTTCAGAGAGAAAGGGGACATCGCGCGCACAAATCAAGTGAATGATAACTCCAACCCAGGGTGACGTGCAAATACTATAAATCTATAGTTTGGAGGGGAAGTCCCGTTCGGACAGTTACCTCGTGATGTAGGTGATCTCAACTAAAAATGAAAAAAAATGAAGACAATCCATTAATGATACTGTCAGAAAACACTGTAGGAGATGTGTAATAAACTTATAATGCTTAAATCAAGGAATCGGAATTATTTACACCCGTGAACCATACTCCTGGTTTTGTTTTAAAGAGCCATTTTAAAGAAACTCTCGAAGTATTTAATTTTACAGGGACTCGTTTGAAAGAAAACTATATCTTATATAATTAAACATACATTATGCAAGAGCTAAATCTGCCTATTGCAGGTATTTCTTTAGGCCTGAAATGTTATCTAAATTATTAATTAGACATTAATTAACCTATTCAGACCATAATCAACTCTAGATGGCATCGCTAGCCTGCGATCGTAAGTGGATGTTGAGCCGATTTACTGCATAACCTTCCTTTACGATTTAACGATTAAATGGATAATCGAGACTATGCAGTTTATCGTACTGACTTTAGTAATAATGATAGAGGCTAGGCGGAAATTTCAAATGCTTAGTTCTCGGTTCATAACTTCATAGTGGATCAATTTAAATGAAATTTTCAGAAAATTGCCATTACATTATCTAGTTTTTAACTATTATAGTGAGAACTGCCAACTCGTTATCGAATCTGCCATAATGTATCTTTAAATATTAATTTCAATACCAGTGAGCTGTTGTGTTGAACTGTGAAATGAGAACATTAAAGTGGTAGCCTACCATGTCCGTTCCCTTTTAATTAAAAGTTATTTATAATCTAACCGAATTCGACCGTATTAATAATAGGGACTAAGGGTCAAGGTAGGCCATAATATCTTCGTAGTGAGACCGATATTGCCGCTTCTGTAAAGCAAATAGGCTACTCACGAATAGGCCTATGGAACGTCGGGTGTAAACATCAAGGCCACCTGGAGATTTCGTCATGGTCATGAGATGTAAACACTACGGGTCAGGCAATTCTCTATATAAAACCAATCCAAAGGAATTTGGATATATCTCCTGTAGAAACTCAAGAGGTAAATATCTTTTGACAAAATATTTATTGTTATCAACATGAACATTTGCATGAAAATTTACTCTTTCATTACTACTGCACAACTTACACTTTATGATAAGAATTAGCGGTACGAGTTCATCTTGAAATACAAAAATATGCTTACGTTGACAACCATTTTCTGTAAGTCTAATGGAGAATGCAAAACAGAAGTCTGTTTCGACTGTGGTGAAGACATTCCATTAAGTCGTATGAGAATGCATATGGAAGAGATGCATGAGGTGAAATTTTTAGTTGCAAACCTTTTGTACCAAATGAATGATTCTGATCTTTTCATATCATATTAAACACCTATCTTTAAACCTGTCAGGGGACAGCTGTCTAGTCGTTCGGATGGGACGAAAGACCGAGGTCCCGTGTACACATTGGCGTGCACGTAAAAGATCCTATGGCAGTTGGAATTCGATATAAGAGTAGGCCGTAGCGCCGCTGTCCAAGCAAAATTTCACTCATAGCACACTGTTTGGCGTATGCCCGTCTTCATTAGCCCAGGTTAGGAGCAAAACAGTAGGACGTTAACCCCATTGCATTTTTTCTTTGTGTTTTCCCAATTGTGCAGTTATTATCTTTAGAACACGGATAATGATTCTATTCTATTATCATTTGATTCCTAACTTTGCTGATTATTTTCTGAATTCTAATCGATTAGCAGATTGATGTACATTTAAATTATACGATCAGTAAAATCCCCGAGAGGCATAGAAGTAAAATTCAGTTATGATTTAATTTACTTAGGAAGAACTTCCAGTTATAAAAAAGAAGAAAAGAAACAGTACACCTTTGCATGTCAAATAGAGGTAAGCATTAGTTTGAAATTTGACTAGTAGGGTAACCGTAGGTGCATATTGAAATTGACTTTTCAGTCTGTCTTTAAAGGACAATATTGGTGCCAGTCATTATCACATATGTGATAGAGCTGGTTAAACACATTCCAAATATAATTTTAACACAGAGATCATTCCTACGATAGCTGAGTAATACAGGTTTCCTGAATCGGAAGTGACGAATGCCAAAGGAAAACACGAGTCACCTCTCTATATAACTGACTGATGTGACGAGTGATAACAGATACACGGCCGAATTTCTGCTCACTAATAATTCCTTCGAAGACCAAAAGTTGTTATATGGGACTGTAAGAGGATACCCGAAAATTCAATAAAGTAATTAAATGTCATTAGATAAGAGAACACGAGAAAAATAGAAATAGTCCGTACATTCCCATGTTTATATTCATTCAATACCTTATAAAAACATGGTAATGCACAGACTTTTTCTCTTTTTTTTTTTTCGTGTTCACTTATCTAGTGGCAGTTAATTCTTTTTATGAATTGTCAGATATCGTCTCACAATCTCACACAACAACTTTTGGTCTTCGAAGGAATTATTAATGAGCAGAAATTCGCCCGTATATCCGTTATCACTCGTCACATCAGGCAGTTTTATAGAGAGATGACTCGTGTTTTCCTTTGGCGTTCCTACTGTTGTGTGATACGTTACGATAGAATTGTCCCTATCGGATCCACTGTTGTGTGATACGTTACGATAGAATTTCCCTATCGGATCCACTGCTGTGTGATGCGTTACGATAGAATTGTCCCTATCGGATCCACTGTTGTGCGATGCGTTACGATAGAATTGTCCCTATCGGGTCTTTGATCTGGTACGGGCTGATACGTTCGGATATGTTTCTATACGATCTGACCACAATATATGATAAGACCTGATAGGACCACCACGATTACTCCCGATTTCATTCGTAGCGCGAATCGTGATAGTGGGAACCTAGCATAAGAGATACAATCTACTGCAAAGATTTTATGGAGCTTTTCATCGGGAATCTTGCATTACATTTACAACTATTCACGGACTTTATTCTTTTCAGCATGATCAGGTTATTAAGTTGTAGGCCTACATACGTGTGTGTTGATCTGATACTTATGTTAAAAATGCATTATGTAAGAGCTAAATCTGACTATTACAGGATTTGATTTTGGCTTCAAATGATATATACCCGGTAAATAAATTATTATTTATACATTTATTCACATGACCAGCCTATAAATCAACTCTATAGACCATCTGATTGCACAGATGTAAACAGATTACACCAGCTCTTTATCTAAATATTACATAATACATCTTTAATTATTTTATTAAATGAATCTTGTTCTAATTAAAATTTCATCAAGCTATATATGTGACTTTTTGGTAGGAATCAAAGAAATTAATCGATGATAATAAAGAAATGTAACTAGAAATAGATGTATTCATTTTACAGTTTATGCATTGGCATTTATATATGCTCACATTATATTGATAATATTTTATATTTTATTGTTTAATATTTATTATCATATTATTAAAGATACATTATGCAAGAGCTAAATCTGCCTATTGCAGGTCTTTATTTTGGCTTCAAATGTTATATAAACGATTATTTGAATATTTATTAACATAGCAAGCATCTTTTACTTGGTAACAATTTGTTATCTAGTTGAATGCTATTTATTCATTTGATATATTTTTTGCTCTACTAATTTTTAACTAACATTTAGTCACAGTGGTATGATCAGTGGGGCTGATGAGGTAAAAAGTGACTAGTCCTTTGACTCCTTTGGATTGACACAATAAACCAAGGTCCCATGTGCACAGTTGCAGTGCACTTTAATGTTCTTGATGAAAACATCAATATCAGCATGTGGATATGCCACTGCCCAAGTAAAATTCCCCATATTGCATAACTTACCATAGAATAAAATAACTTGTGTTTGTCTTGATACATTTCTAATTTAAAGGAACGTTAAGAATTATAAAAATGCTCAAAATGAACAGATATGTTGTTTGTAGACAGTACGGCAGCATTTCAGTGAGGAGTGGGATATAAGATAACTATTAAAAATGGTGCAAGAGATAAAAGAAGTATATATAAAAATTATTAAAACAATCAAATGATATGTACCATAGCATAAAACAATGAAAGGATGAATGTCAGTTCATAGATATAATGCGATCGTCGGACAGAAAGATATACCATTTGGGGATAATCACACTACGATAATATTCAGAAATTCAATTATCAGAAAAAGATTGTGTATTGCGATTTTCAATTTGTGTATTTCAGGTGTAAGTTGGAAGAGTGTCCTATTTGTTTCTGCTCTTTTCCACTGGATAAGATATCTGTCCATTCTTCAGAATGTAGTGTTGTGTGTGATGAAATAACCACTGAGCAAATTCATCCAAGGTAGGATTTATATACAATATTCAATGGGACCAGACTCAGACTATTATCAATGTAGAGCTATAAAGCAATAATTTTCTGCATTAGAAAACCTGCTTTGTGCCAAGAATAGTCAGAAATACTAGTAGTTGTTTTTATACGTCCACATTTTCATGTGGACGTATATTGTCGTCGCCCATGTCCGTCCATCCGTCCACAATAGAGGTCACAATTTTCATCTGATTTTGATGAAACTTGAAATACATGTTTTTAGCTTGTGGTCCCTCTAGATGTCACAATTATTATTCGATTTAAAAAAAACGTTCGACTGTATCACCGAAAAACACGGTGAGGTTGGTGGGGTTCACATTTCGTGAAATTCGGACCAAAACTGCTCGCCCCTCGTACGCAAACTGTGTAAAAATATGGTATATCAAGGCTGTTGTTTTTAAATACATATTAGTATGCATGACTTGAAATATTTGCCTGTCTAGTTAGCGCCGATAAATTCCAGAAAATTTAATTTTAGAAATGCTAATTAATTCAAATATTTTTCAGATTTGAAACATTAAAAGATGAAATGGAAAATAAAAGAAATCAATTAATGTCAGAAGATATGTGGGTTATTTCGGTCTTAAGAAAATCTTTCAAAGAAACCTCATCTGATCAGATGCAAGAAGCTTCAGAAAAAGAATGGGAAAGATCGTTAAAAGCAAAATTCATTGGAGAAGAAGGTGTCGATTCTGGAGGACTATCAAGACTACACCTGTCTTCAACAATAGTTCCTTTAATTTTAATTCAACGTTACTGGAGGGAAAAGATTATGACCTTGTAGGTAGAATGGTGTCTAAAGCTATACTATCTGGACATCCAGGACCAGGTTGTCTTAATAGTATTGTTACAGATTATATATTGTATGGAAATATTCCACAATTTAGTGATGTAGAAACAGACATGGTAAAAAGAGCTGATGCAGTAGCAGCAATTAAGTCCGTAAGTAGATCTACAGTTAGAGGGTATATATTGTTCTTTGTAGGACTGGGTGATGTACAGGTAATAAGATATATACTAAGTACCAGTACATGATTGAATACTGTAAGTTATACGGTCTCAAAAAGAATTACTGGAATATTTCAATTCTATTTTTTGAAATATTTTAGAATCTACTATATTATGTGATTTTATACACAAGGTCCATTTAAATTAGCCAAGATTACAATATTGTGATATTCCAAGAGCTCAATACTGCCAATCTCTATTTTCTTGTTCTAAGGAATACATAAGGTAATTCTCTAATAAAGAAGATCTGTAAGATTTTAGGATCCAAAATGAAGATGTTACAGATATTCTGATTATGTCAGGATTTCTTAAACAGCTAACAATGGAGAATAAAACAGAAGCCATTACAGCAATTAAAGCCTTTTTTATATTCTATCAAGTGATGCCTTGCATCTTACAATTTATGGAAGGTATTTGCCTTTGAAGGTTTGACAGACGTGTGCAATAATTTCAACCACCGTACTGGTTGATCGAAGCTAAGTCTCGGTCCTCCATATTTGATTAAATCAAAGTATCGCTGAACCATTCTAATCCTGGTACATCACTGTCAGTCAACAAACCTTCCTGGCATACTCCATACAACTGAATATCTGACTGAAACAGAAATTATCAGTAAAAAATAATAATAATGAAACATGCATAATTTGGCTATTAAATTATTAAAGTCACCTTCAATTATAAGGAGTTGTCTGGGGGTTTTATATTTTATTTTGAGTTTAATTTTGAAGGCGCTTCATGGCAGAAAAATAAGGTTGTCTTTTTAATTTCTATGAAAAATGTTTTTTATTTATATAATCATAAAGTAATGGGTAATGGTAATTAATTACTTTCAATGTAATGGGTAATGGTAATTAATTACATTGCTAAAAATGAGAAAGTAATTGTAATGATTACATTTAAAAAGTAATGGTAATGTAATTAATAATGGCCCCAGCCCTGGAACCCCCTAAGAGGACTTGATTTTTATCCAAATTTTGACGAAACTTTAAATATCTATATTTAGATATCAAAGATCTTAGATGAGTTCGATTTTGGCACTGTAACTTCCTGGATAATTTTCCCTGATTGTACGAAAAATTGTGTTTTTTGCTTGTAGACCCTCCATAGGTCATAATTTTCATTTTATTTTAATAACCATACAGCTATATCTGCCTTATCTCTTAATCGTGGATGACTTCGAATTTCATGAAAGTTGGACCAAAACTTCTTGTACAAAGGGCCCCTCCCCTTTACACAAATAGCCACAAAGCATACAAGAAATATACCAATCTTGTCAACCCTCTAGAGGTCACATTTTTTGTCCCATTTAGATGAAACTTTAAATATTTTTCCAGTTCTCTTGCAAAATGTGGGTGTATCATGCATGGCAACGGATTGTAATGATTACTATTTGGATTTGTTTAATTTTATATTTTAATTAGTAAAAATAATAAATGAATAGAGGTATTTTATATTCATCATATTACTAGATTCACACTAAAAAGCAGTTGGGGAATTAAACTACAACTTCTACTCTTTTTTTTATTAGAGACTAGAATTTAATCTGTTCAGAATATTAATCACGTTTTTGAATTTAATTTTGTTCATGATGAAGACATTATCAAAGCATTTAACATCTCAAATTTATGGTTCTTACATTCTTTATGAAGCATTGTGGTCATGAGAGGATGAACACTATCAATATTCCTTATCAGTTTTGGTCAACACCCAAGTTTTCTTTTGAATAAGCTGCTGTTGAGACATGGCTGCTGTGTGGTTGTCCATGTCCATGCTTTGCATGGCTAACTTTTGGTTATATGCTAGATACTGGCATGCTTTCGTTTGATGTAAGGAAGAAATGTATACAACGATAAGATCACTATATAATATAGATTTACTGACAATTTACATGCATTGATATTTTTGTCTACCTATGAATTAATCTCCTCATGCACCTTGGGTTTTATTCACAGGTTTCATAACTGCAGGAGAGAAATTCTAAGTTGTACTTAATTTAAGATTCATATAAAAAAGGTTTAGAATCGTGATAACTAAACAGTAAAAAATGTTACATGTGTGAATTAAAAGCAATATCAAATGTTCCTGGAAGAGTCAACATACTCTGCCTTGCCATAACTACGTGTACACTTTCTAATTATTTAAATATACATTATGTAAGATTTAGATAAAGAACTAGCCATTCTTGCTATAATAGTTCGAAAGTAGATGATGTAAAATGACTAATTTGAAAATTTCATTCAAATTACTCTATTGCAAGCGAAGATATTAGCCTTTGAAGGTTTGACAGACGTGTGCAATAATTTCAACCACCGTACTGGTTGATCGAAGCTAAGTCTCGGTCCTCCATATTTGATTAAATCAAAGTATCGCTGAACCATTCTAATCTATCTAATATCGGAGAAATCTGATGCCATCGAGAGTTGATTAAGGCCTGTATCAGTTAATTAATGTCTAATAAATACATTAGAAAACATTTCAGGCCTAAAGAAAGACCTGCAATAGGCAGATTTAGCTCTTGCATAATGCATGTTTAAAGACATGAGAAAAGCTATATCACAATCTATTCAATAGGATAAAAAAAACTTGAAGGGTCACTTTAAGACTACCTTAAAGCTCTATAATATGAACAAATACATGTATGAACAATAACACTTTAAAATGAAATAGTTAATCTGATTGAAATTATACAAGGCTTTCCATAAGGAAATTCAGAGTTGACACGAATAAATCAATTCCATGATTATTGGTATGTGACAAAGGATTTACTGTTGTTATTAAATCTCTTCTCTTTTCATCAGTTAAAGATGTTGAAGTTACACATACATCTACTCCTGGTACATCACTGTCAGTCAACAAACCTTCCTGGCATACTCCATACAACTGAATATCTGACTGAAACAGAAATTATCAGTAAAAAATAATAATAATGAAACATGCATAATTTGGCTATTAAATTATTAAAGTCACCTTCTTCGGGATTGTTAATATGAATAAAAAACCTCAGTTTATTGTCTCAATTATAAGGAGTTGTCTGGGGGTTTTATATTTTATTTTACCTCAACAGCCCAACTTGGTATACCACTGACCAAGTGGGGCATAACTAGATTTACCTCAGACACTAAACTTTCAACTGGGTCAAGAATCTGTCCCTCTATCCACATCTGTAATGGAGTTCTCTGATTAGCTGTTCCCAATGGTCTTCGTATAAATGCCCCCCCTAAATTCATCAATATGATGTTGTATTCTAGGTATAGATACATAGTGTAAAGCCTATAAATGGACTTCATCAGTAGGCTGAAGTACATTTTCTGCTTCCATATAACAAAATAATTTGTAGAAAAATGATATACATCCTGTCCACAAATCACACCAGAATCTTTCTATCCTAAAAAAAAAAAAAAATAGGTTGCCAGGCATACAGCAGCAAAATCACACGAGTCATCTACAAGCAAGAGAGAGAGAAATGGGGTTTGACTCCACTTGACACAAACTAGAAAACCACAAGGTTAGACAGGCGATACAACCCCTTGTCACATACAAGTGTGGGATCGTAACCACAAAACTTAAGTCAATGACAGACCTTATGTATGATGCATAGTGCACAAGTTAGATCATTCAGCCACCCAACCCCTCTAGATCATTTTTATACGCCCACATGGAAATGTGGTCGTATATTGCCGTCGCCCGTCCGTCGTCCACAATTTCTTGTGAACACTCTGCAGACTACATTTATCAACCGATTGTTTTGAAATTGATATATGTTGTTTGCATTAGCAGTCGGAGGAAACCGAAGGACCCGGAAAACCCCCCAAAAGGTTGGACAGACGACGCTACAACTTGTCATGTACAACCGGGGAATCAAAACCACCCAACCCCCCAGTTTATCTGATTTTAATGAAACTTGAAATGCATGTTTATAACCCAAAAATCTTGGTTTCTTTTGATATTCACACATATGGGATTGTAACTTCAAGAATTATGGTCCTTGATTATACGAAAAAAACATGTTATTATAGCTTGTGGTCTGTACTCTAGCGGTCGCAATTTTTATTCAATTCAAAAAAACATCCTAAAGATTGTCGAGTTCGAAATTAGTGAAAATCGGATCCAAAATGCCGGACTAAATGGCCGCCCCTCCTATGCATATAGTGTAAAAATATGGTATATCAAGGTTGTGGACCCTCTGGAGGTCATAATTTTGATCCTATTTTGATGAAACTATAAATTTATGTTTTTATCGCAAAGATCTTGATCCCTCTCAATAATCGCGCATATCCGAACGTAATTTCCTGGATTAAGGCCCCTGATTGTTTGATAAATCGCATTTTTATACGCCCCCATTTTCATGTGGACGTATATTGTCGTCGCCCCTGTCCGTTGTTTGTGAACAGTCTACAGGTCACAATTTTTATCCGATTTCAATGAAACTTGAAATATAGGGTTATCACCCTAAGATCTCGGTTTCTTTCGATATTGGCATGTATCGGACTGTAACTTCCTGAATTATGGCCCCTGATTGTACGAAAAATCGCATTTTTAGTTTGTGGACCCTATAGTGGTCATAATTTTTATCCGATTTAAAAAAACGTTTTTGTATATCACCGTTACACCCTAAGAATTGGTCAAGACTTTCGAACATAACAATTGAGGTAGTAGAATGTTTAAACTTGATGTAGATGTTGATTAGCATTTCGAGCTAAGGCTAAACAGAGGTAAGCAATTTCATTGGTCGATGCTTTGGAACAAGATAACTTTGATTCTATCTGATAGAGAGTGATGAAATTTAGTGTATAGTTGATAAACAGTTTGATTGCTTGATACTTTTGATTAATGTGTCATCTATTTATTTGGCGATTTCGGCGGGGGACATCAGCCTCACTGTTGGCTTGTTTCAAATTAAATGTGAAGCATTTGGACAATGAGAGGATGAACCCTATTGATTTCTCTGTTCTCTGTCCATCTCTAGCAAAATGTGAGCTTATCTGGAAATGTGCAAAGTCTTCATTTATATTTTTTTTTTTTTTTTTTCTAGTGTGTGTCAACAATGGAATCAACTTTAATGATGATCAGTCACTGGAAGTTTTAGAGATGTTCTTCTCTGGTTTTCCTCAAATGATTGGTTTAAATCATTTTCCAAACTTACAAAGTCTAACAATTATAGGGCAGTCCATACAGCGAATTGAAGGCTTGACTATTCTCCAAAATTTGCAACAGCTGTGGTTGTGTGAGTGTGAAATCACGGTAAGTTAAACTAATGCTGTTAATAGTGTTATCATTCAAGAAATTTCCGTCCATTGGACGCCAATGTTAGTCAAGAATGTTTCCTTTTTACACCCATTCTACAGTAGATATCGCTTCTGACTTCTGTGATAACTTTCATAATCTACTGAGCTATCACTTTACATGAAATAAAATCTATACTAAAGAATTTTATTTATTGTGCGGGTAAGAAAGGCAAAGTCTTGTACTCTTAGTCTTATACATCATCGACTTTGTTGAAACTTGAAATGTAAGTTTATAACCCAAAGATCTGGGTTCCTTTCGATATTCTTGCATATCGGACCGTAACTTTCTGAATTATGGCCCCTGATTTATCTGATTTAAAAAAACGTATTATTATATCACCGTTACACCCTAAGGACGGCTCAGTTTGAATTTCGTGAAAATCGGCCCAAAATTGAAAGACAAAATGGCCACCGTTCGGTCTCAAATTGGCGTAAAAATATGGTATATCAAGGTTGTAGACCCTATAGAGGTCACAATTTCTATCCGATTTTGTGGAAACTTGAAATGAAAGTTTATAACCCAAAGATCTTGGTTCCTTTCGATATTCGCACATATCAAATTGTAATTTCCTGAATTATGGCCATTGATTGTAGGAAAAATCACTTTCTTCTTAGCTTGTTCTCTATCCATCTCTCGAAAATGTGGGCGTATCCTGCCTGGCAGCCGCTGGTTAATAATAATATCTGGGTTCGTCTTGAAATGAACAATGGCTTCCCTTTCTTCATAGGAAAGATTGTTTCTCTGGAAATTTATAATCACTGTGTTGAAGATTTCTAAGTTTAAGTTTGCCCCTGGGTTGGGGGTCCAAGTGCTTCTTGGTGCGAATCCTGTCAAATTATTCTTCATACTTAAAGACTTGGAGCATAATCAAATATCAAATTAATTATTGCGACTGCATGGTAAAATAGGACGACATTATACCATTAGGCCTACCTAGTACAATCCTAGTCTAGGTCGAGATTTTGGTTTTCCAATTCCTGACCTATTTCATTAATTATTCATACTTACTTGTGAAAACTAACGCCCTGTGCTTTCGTCGAAGGATTCATGTTGATAAAACGAATATTGAGCACCAGGTAGAGTTGACTGATAACACAAGACTACAAGAATAAGGGAGACCACTCGCAATCAGTTACGAATCATAGCTGGATAACCGCGGCACAATATGGCAACTCTCGTAACGTGAACAATTCTTTTGTTTGTTTTTTTTAATTTTTTTAGAAAATAAAAAAAGAATATTTTTTTTAGAAAATAATAATAAAAAAAAAATAGAAAATAAATTGTACATGAAATAAAAAACAAAATTATAACGATAAAAAATATACGGTGGCTGATTTAGGACACGCAAAAAAAATATCTCGAGCGCTCAAGATTTCCAGATCTCTTGAAAAGTACCATTATAATTTTATATTTGGAATGACGAAAAGCAATCTGATTAAAATACAGATGTATATTTCGTTTCATTTTTTTTATACTTTCGATGGCCTACCCTACATGAAGGTCTGGCCAATTGTACTGGAAGGTCGCGTCAGTGGTCATACGGGCAGCTTTTGACCCTATGTTATCATACATTGATTAATCAATCAGTGATGACGTTTCTAGGGATTTACCCAGTTCCGTGCAGAGCATGCCAAGAATTCGCCTTAACAGACCATTTCATTGGCTAATTCCTCACATCAACTAGACGGTCTGATGATCGAGAAAACACTTTTCAGGTCTATTTTAAACCAGTTGGTTTCTGTACCCAAAATTACATTTTGCCCGCCGCCCCATATAATGAGAATCTTAAACACATATTTAGAGATGTGCAGCGGAATTAAAGAGTAATGTTTTTGCCAAGCTCTAAGAAAATCATTTAAACATACATTATGCAAGAACTAAATCTGCCTATTGCAGGTCTTTCTTTAAGCCTGAAATGTTATATAAACTATTAATTAGACATTTATTAACAAAACAAGACCATAATCGGAAGATTTTAACCAGATTAAAACGGTTCGCCATTTAAAAATTTAATTTACAAATGGTAAAGCGAGGCTAAGTCACGATTATACAAGTGCCTTGGTTACCACTATGCTCACATCTTGTCAAAACTACAAACAATGATAACTTGGCTGAGAATGAAGTAATTTGAATGGAATTTTCAATTTCCAGCTCTTTATTAAACTCTTAACTAATGTATCTTTAAATCAACGTGAACTCATTACCCGCCAATTTAGCCCCCCCCCCCCCCACACACACACATACACACTTCCACACGCACACCTGCTACCCTCACCCTACCTCCCCACAAATCAAAACAGTTGTCCAGGGGCATCATATACACTTCTTTAGAGATGGACAGTCCTAGAAATTTATGTTATCAATACATAACATGAACATCATTTACGTCAAAAAACTGGTCTCATAAATTCACAGCTCAGGTGGCGATTTCCCCCCCCCCCCTTCAGCCACCGAACTATAAGACTAATATGAAATCCACACTCATCATCGATATCCATGGTATGCATTGCTTTGTTCATATCTATCTCAGACATAACCTGTACAAAAATAATTTTTATCGTTGTATGCCTAATTCGTATTTACTTTTAGCAGAAGAATAAAACTGTTTACGGTCACTAAATTTTATACGGGCTTTATCTGCGAAATATGCATTATCATTATGATATATGTATGGCCCATTGATCAGTCAAAATAGTTAAAAATAACTTCCCATAGCTACATATAATACGACGAGTCTCGACGACCGACATTTTAGGGGCTAGCTCACCAAACTAGGCGTTGATAAAGAATGTTCCTCGGAATTCTTTTTCGAGTCACATTTTCCCTTTATAGTGGTGCATATTATAGCTAACGGTTCACAAGTAACAGCGTCTAATCTTGATGAATAGGATTGGTACATTATAACATTTTGCGGTCGTTATAAATAACCCCACAATATATATATTATTCGATGCTTACCTTTCGTCTTTTGGAGACTGGTGAGGTACTAATAAAGGCTGTATTGAGATCCGATTCATATTCTTCAATAATGGTAAGGGTTGAATATCTATCCGGCAAATTGTAGGAATGGAACCTGGAAAAAGTTTTTTTTATCTGTTTGCGTGTTACGAAAACTTCAATTAAGTTAGGCCGCAGCCCATAGCAATCGTTTGCAAAATGTTCACTGCATATCACTGTTGTGACTGTAGGTTGCCAATCAGGATTTGATTTGTTTACAAACGCAATCCACTCTTTCCATAAGATTTCTGAATTTCATCCTTGGGAAATTTATGAAACGCCAGTACATTATGCCCCCTTTTTTGCTTTAATTTCCACAACTCTCAATAACACAACGATAATGAGGCATCTTAAAATACACTTCGAAATATTCTAGTCCCAAATATCTAATCTATTACAATTCAAGACGAGAAAGGTCGGCTTTTGTTGTTGTTGTTAGTTAGTTGTATTTTACGTCCGCTTCCACCGAGGTGATATCGCTTTTGAAAATGCTTTGACTTAGTTATATAGTGATATTACGAGTTAATTGGCCTGACAAATACACACTTGTCAACTGGTGGTGTGTTTATACAGTGATATATTATACAAAAAGAGATATATATTGTATAGATAATGTATATACTATGTGTAGTGCCTGTGACATCACCAGCCAATCAACCGGATTAAGGTCGTTAATGAAAATTAGAAAACCGTTTTTGGCTGTCGGATACTTAAACGTTAATAGCTGAATTAATTTAAATCAGATTGCCGTAAAATGGATGTAGTAATCATTGGCTACATCGTCCACAATTTCTTGTGAACACTCTACAGACTACATTTATCAACCGATTGTTTTGAAATTGATATATGTTGTTTGCATTAGTGAGATGAAGAATCCTATTTAATTTCAATAACTTCCGTTAATTTCTTCTGGAGTTATGGCCCTTGTTTCACTTTGCTGCACCGTGTGAATGCTCTAACGACAAAAGTTATCAACCGATCTGTATGAAATTTATATGCATCATTTAAATTAGTAAAACAAAGAAGCCTATTGAATTTCAGCAATTTCCGTTAATTACATCTAGGGTTATGGCCCTTGTTTCACTTTGTTGAATGTTGTGAACGCTCTTATGACAACAGTTATCATCCGATCTGTTTGAAATTGATATGCATCATTTAAATTAGTGAAATGAAGAAGCCTATTGAATTTCAGCAATTTCCGTTAATTACGCCCTGAGTTATGGCCCTTGTTTCACTTTGTTGTACCTTGTAAATGCTCTAACGACAAAAGTTATTATCCGATCTGTATGAAATTTATATGTATCATTTAAATTAGTAAAACGAACAAGCCTGTTGAGTTTCAGTTATCACCTAAATTAGCGAAATGAAGACGAACAAGCCTATTGAATGTCGGCAATTTCCGTCAATTACGTCTAGAGTTATGGCCCTTGATTTACTTTGGTGAACTTTCGAACAACAAAAGTTATCATTCGATCTGTATGAAATTTATATGCATTATTTAAATTTAAATTTCAGCAATTTCCGTTAATTACGCCCTGAGTTATGGCCCTTGTTTCACTTTGTTGTACCTTGTAAATGCTCTAACGACAAAAGTAATTATCCGATCTGTATGAAATTTATATGTATCATTTAAATTAGTAAAACGAACAAGCCTGTTGAGTTTCAGTTATCACCTAAATTAGCGAAATGAAGACGAACAAGCCTATTGAATGTCGGCAATTTCCGTCAATTACGTCTAGAGTTATGGCCCTTGATTTACTTTGGTGAACTTTCGAACAACAAAAGTTATCATTCGATCTGTATGAAATTTATATGCATTATTTAAATTTAAATTTCAGCAATTTCCGTTAATTACGCCCTGAGTTATGGCCCTTGTTTCACTTTGTTGTACCTTGTAAATGCTCTAACGACAAAAGTAATAATCCGATCTGTATGAAATTTATATGTATCATTTAAATTAGTAAAACGAACAAGCCTGTTGAGTTTCAGTTATCACCTAAATTAGCGAAATGAAGACGAACAAGCCTATTGAATGTCGGCAATTTCCGTCAATTACGTCTAGAGTTATGGCCCTTGATTTACTTTGGTGAACTTTCGAACAACAAAAGTTATCATTCGATCTGTATGAAATTTATATGCATTATTTAAATTCGTAAAACGAAAAAAGCCTGTCGAATTTGAACAATTTCTGAGGATTGCTTCCAGAGTTAAGGCCCTTGTTTTAGCTTTTAGAACCTTGTGAACCTTCAAACAACGAAAATTATAATGTCATCTGTATGAAATTGTCTATTAAATTCCCCTAATTACCTACAAAAGAATAAATATGTGACAACCCTTGTCGACTGCACGGACGATTTAGCTGCTGTAGGCATTTGTTTTGTTGCCTGGCAACCTATCTTAAACTTTAGTGGTGTCCATGCACAGGTCATATTTTTAGCTAGTTCCTACCTCTGATTGTGAACGCTTCTACACTGTATATCCATGTCCTCTGTTTGCTATCATATATTCAGCCACTTTGATGTTCTCTCCACCTTTATCTGATCGAACTCTCTGTGGTAACCCGTAGTTACTGACAGCTTCTGTGGAAGCTTCCAAGACTGTCTCTGATCTGTTGTTGCTGCTGATCTTAAGATATGTTGGTAATCTTGAGTATCCATCTATACCACCATGGACTACTAAACGCCAACTGAAAATAAAATACCAGTAACATTAATTAATTGAACACTTAAATTTCTAGTATTTATATTACATGTACTAAGTGTATTGATGTACAGTAAAACAGAATGTGTATATTTCTAAAAAATGTAATCTTAAAAGTTAAAAAAATATAGACAACAGCTGACGATTTGAATGAAACAATCATCAAAAGGTAGACAAGTGGTGTAAGTGGTCACTTTTGCATGGGCACACAGTTCGGTATACATGTAGGGTACCAAACAGTTTCACAGTGATAATGTGAAAGCCTTTTTCATTGGTGGCCAAGCAAATATTTACTGCTGATCAGTTTACTAGAGTACCAGTACAGGAATCAATGAGAAGAGCTGACATTGAAAGAGTGTTTATTTTTAATAAAAAGAAATTGTTTTCGAATCAAGTGTGCAGAATTTAAATACGGTCTGTATTTAAATATTTCCCATAATATTCGAAATTAAAAACACAATTTATAATTCAATGTTGATCAATTTCAATCAATATTGATGTTGTTATCTTGCTGCGAAACTATAGTATAGGATCCTAATATCCAATATTTAGGACACAATAAACATTTTATAATCATTTACATGGTTTCGGGTGTTATTTTGTAATAAACAAATAAAAACATATCGTACAACACTATGTAGAACTAGAAGTAATTAGTAAAGGCTGATTCACAAACGACAAAATATAATAATTTAAAAAACGTGTAAAATGCACTAAGCAGGCGTAAACGACTGCCGTTCAATTTGAACTGTTCACATACGTCACCGGAATTACAATATTTTTTTTCAGAAATTGAATATAAATCACTTTACAATTTACATACATTCATATTACATTTATGTGCTTTAATTTTGCGTTAAAAGAAGAAACACGTCTTGTACAAACCTGATGAGTTTATGGTATCCATCAATGTGCCAAAGTCAATTTGGTGCACGTACACAATACTTTCGTCTGCGCACTGGATTCAAATACAGTCTTCTGTATAACACTCCTTCAATGTCAACTCTTCTCATCGATTCCTGTACCCTATAAAACTGTACTTTATGGCCTCTCATACTTCTATATCCAATATTTGGATAATTATGTAGTATATTTTGAACTGTAACATCCAACTCATCATCAGTCACCTGACTATAATTAGCTGTGAGAGAAATGTCATATTCTGATAGTCTTCTGCAAATTGTCCTTTTGCTTACATTAAACAGATTAGCTATATTTTGAATCTTGAAATCATTGCTTACTAAATATTCTAATTGCTCTTGGGGGATGATGAAATATGGTCTACCTGTACAACCTCGAACATGTAGCAGGATCGATGGACGACGGACTATCCACCTTTCCAGGTCGCGGGTTGAACCAAAAGAGACAAAACAGGAACAATTTATTTACAATACACACACGAACAAAACAGGAAATTATTTACAATAGAGCAAGTAGAAGAACCTTGAAATAACAAAATGAATAAATTAGCAAATATATATAAAGGATATAGCTTCTAATAACCAGTTATATAATATAGAGATATATTGCCTATTACAGGTAATAAGAATGGAGCATTTAGAATTATTATACATAAATAACATATAATAGCAAAATGAGAAACTAACTTAAACTAGAAACATACCCTGATAAAGGTGTTCTTAAGAAATGAAGAATTATAGAGCTAATAGACGGAGAGAAATAAAAAACTACCGAGAACAAATTGCAAAAGAATTTCTTTCACTGGAATCTAGTAAAGGGGTGTCTAAAGGACTCCCAACTCAAAATTGTCCGCTGAAACCCTGTAGCGTTTTTCATAATTAGCATAAATCCAAGATGGCCGCCAATTGGACTTTCTGGCCTCCATATCTTGGAAACGGCCCGTTTTAGAGCAATAAATGTATTATCATTAGATACAAAAGTGATATCAACGAATCGGAAAATAAAATTATCACAACGCCAGCAGGTCATAGTGTGACTTGCCATGTTTTAATTTGCAAAATTCAAATATTTTTCATATATATTTAGCCAGGTGTGCCGCTATTTTTTCATGTGTTCCAAGGTGTGCCGTTGGCAAAAAAAGGTTGAGAACCATTGTGTTAAGCTCTGGTGATTGACTTGCAATCCAGTCTGGGTTTTCCCCAGATATTTGAAACTTTTTTTGCTAATTTTGTGAAAAGTGCCGTATTTCGCCATGGATACGTGCATAATTTGCGACAATAACCGAAATAATGGTGGGGATGCTGTCAAGCTCACCACCGAGGGATCGAATGTAATCAATCAGGCTGCTCAGCTTTACCGGTTGGACATTTCGGTTACCCCTCCTAATGCTCATGTGCATGTACAGTGCAGATAGAATTTCACTCACCAGATTGAATTCCAGTCCAGTCAGTAAACAAACTAGTTCTCGGCCCGCTTTTTCTTAGTTCTCCAAGACACCAGAACTCACGTCAAACCCGCTTATTCGGTATCAGAAAGCATTTTGTCCGGTCGTCAAATCTCAATATTTCGAGTGAATCTGGAAATTGTCTATAAAGTTTTTTTTAGGATTGATTTTAGTAGCCTATGGTGTCCTCTTTCAGAATCCGCCGGGTGAACTCCGGTCACCCTTGAGCGTTTTGCGAAATTCAAGATGGCTGTCAAATAATCCCCCATAACTCACATAGTATTTATTCTAGGACGATAATTTTTGGGTTTAAACCTATGTTACTCGGGTCAAGGAATACACTGAAATCATTCATTATGTTGTGGGGTGATTAGATGATAGTAAAATCCAAAATGTCAGACA